GTCTCTTGGAGGAGAGACGAAACGTTTCATTAAAGAAGAACCCGTCCAGAAGACCTATATAATTTTTTTTTTACCTGGATTACTGAGATGCATCAAGACAAAATGTTGCTGTTATTTCATAAAGCACACAGATTTGTATTTTTATTTAATTTTGCACATTTCAGTTAGTTTCAAAATGATCACTTTCTGCAATAAATATTTTCAGTGAGACACAGAGCCCTGTATTCAGAAAAGTTTCTATTCATATTGAAAATGTTAACTTTAATGACATTGAGACTACATCGCTGATTGTTTACCTTTAGACTTCAAGTTATTTTGAGTCACTTGACCCGACAAACATCTGAAATAGTTTTGTATGAAAAAATAGACTCAGCTGCTTCTATGAAGTTAAACCACATATTTTACTTGTCTGAAGGTCCGCCTAAAATAAAAAGGGACTTTCACTCCTGTTTTATTAACTTTTATAAAGTCATACTTACAAATTTGTAACAAGTGGAATGTAATAAATATGCCAAGTTTACAGTTAGACTGTATAACATGACGTTATCAGTCACTTGGACAATTCACCTACACTGCCATCACTAATATGCACCTTCATATACAAACATTTATTTACTGTACTATAMGGTATATGTATATGTGTTTACGTAAATGTGAATATGTGCATTGGTATATGTACATTATTATATCTCACGTGTACAGGGTTTTTTTTCTTTTCTTTTATTCTTCTCACCCTCTCCTGTATTGAGCTACAGTGATGTGTAAATTTCTCCACTGTGGGATCGATAAAGTTTTCATCCATGATCATGTGTCACTATTATGAAAACTCAAGGATAGATGTAATCCTGGCTTAAACCTTAAGTTTTGTTAAACAAAAACTGGGGATATAGCAGTGTATAAACAGTAACGCACTGGTAAAATAAGTCATCTTCAGTAGTAGTTTCTTTTTTAAGAGGGCATCTAATAAATTACCCGTTTGTCTCGTTTCCTGAAACTTCTCCTGCACTGACCAGTAGAGGGCGACAAACATTTAGAAATAAACCCAGGCCTGCTCCTCAACTACTTTATTCACAGATTACATTTTAAAACACATCTTATGCACATATGAAACTGCTGAAGTAAAAAAAAAAAAAAAATAGATCAGTCAACATTGTATTTAAATTTTTAATTCAGAAAGCTTMTTTTATGGGAAGTGAAACTTCTTCAGGTTTAGAACAAAGTCCAGTTTTATTTGAAATTTATTTTTTGGGAGAATAAAGACCTTACCTTCCTGGCACTTCCTTCCCTATATGCTTTTTTTTAAAACCCGTTTGTGGCTTATAACTTCATGAGGTATAGCAACGATCGCCTTTCATTCTGTAACGTCTCCATCTTTGCGCTCTGGATTGATTTCCTGTCACTTCAAATTTCCTGTGCAAGAGAGACGTTAAATCATCCATTTTTCCATGAAGGGCAAATGACCAAATCTGTGACTTCAAGCTTCAAATGAAACATCCGTCTATATTTAGAGCCAATTTTTATTTTAGGAGCAGGTTGGACTTTAAACAAGTTGCATCTTAAAACCTCCTGAAAAGCAAATCACATTTAGTTTTAACATTATGCATCYGTTTACTTTAATCCATACTGTGATTTAGTGTTACTCTTGTCCCAAACTTTAATCAGAATTTAATCATTCCTTAATTTAAAGAGATTAATACTGAAGACGCCCCTCTGAAGTCCTTATCGAGACAATAATTTGATGTCGAAGCCGTCATCTGGTACAACATGTGTGATGTATGATGGGATAATATGGCCAAATGTTTGCAGCTGACCACCAGCACAGCTGTTACAGCGAGGCAACTGGTTTCACTGAAAACAGTCACTTGTGAGTCCCTTGAGGACAAGGGGTTCTGGTTGAATGAGCAGAGCATCTTACCAACTCAAGAGGGCAGAGTGTGGAGGCCGTCTACGCAGAGACACATTGACGCAGCGGTGCATTACAAATGAAAAGTTTGCATGAATTATTGATGCCAACATCTGACGTCCTCAGACTTTAGATCCCCAACATACAGACTGGGGGAAGTTCAGCTCTRATTGGTCAATGACCTGCGGCAGCAACAATAAATGACCAGGTGCCCAACAGAGAAATGCATTCACTTCTTTTATTCATAAGATGAGGTTTGTTTTTAACATCTTATGCACAGCAGATACAAAGACAAACAGGTTTTTAACCACAAACTAAATTCCTTCATCAGTCTAATCTTGCTACCCATTTCAAAAAGCCCCCCCTCCCACCCCCAAAAAGCAAACCTTTACATTTGTAGTCCAGTTTCACAGCAATCTCATTTTAGCAAAACGGCACAAGCCAAGCTCAATACTTCCATTTTTTTGACAGATACTAACTTCCCCTTTAAACAAATTGCACTTTTCTTTAAAACTACTTCAACAGGATTATAGGATCAAAAAAATGAACACCAAACACAAGAGATGACTAACATCCAACTTATATAGGTTCATTATTTAGTTGCACAAAAATGCATAAATATACATTACACAAAAGAGTACAGAGGATTTGTACTTTCCTTTGCTCAAATAAAGACAGATGAGGCCTGGGATTGTCCAAATGTAGGGAAGCATTCACAAGGTCCATGCGAGATAAGCCATTTACACAACAGCCTAGCTTACAGAGGTAAGACCAAGGTTCTACACAAAGAAAACAAAAATTAATAGCTTTTTGCTGTCTATGTCAAAAGGTAACACAAACACTAACAAAATTAGGATACACAGAAATCTGCGCTCTAAATTCATGCCAAAAAGACTTGAACATGCAATGACTGAACAGCTCTACACCTCCCAGGAGCAGCGGCGACCCGTGAAGGGACCAACTTAAAACATCAATTTTCCTTCGYAATTAGGAAGAGTTTTATTTGTGTTTTTTTTTTTTTAAGTGCAGATGGTACCGCAATCACCACCAAGGATAAGTTTAGATTGTCGACAGCAAAATTGTTTTTAACTCCAACTCCACCCAGAGACCACCGGGGGGAGATAAATACTGTGTAATAATGCACATTTGTCCATTAAATTAACTTGATTAAATTAAATGAAGAGTTCAGTAAGCCTCACGTCAGCTGGATAAAGGTGTGGTTTCCAGAGGCCTGTAAAARTATAACAGAAAGAAGAGTTGGTCTGAAACATGGTGATACATTTTCATGTAGTCTTTGAATATTTGTTTCTGACAACAAGTCAGAAGCTTAAACATCAAGATCATTAAAAATATAATGTTCTGAAATTTCCCAGCTGGAAAGAATAGTTTGCATGGATAAGCTGGCAGCCTTTATCCTCACCCTGCAGATACTTGTTGCATTATAACGCTGCTTTTAAAAATAACCCATTATCAATAAGAATGTTGAGTAGTTCCCAGACAAGAACGGAGYATGAAGTGCTAAGAGTTATCCACGTCACACACATGACACTTCTGTTCAGGGGAAATTAAGCTCCTGCCCTCCTGCTGCCAATATGCAAGTTCTCCCGTTAACATTTTATTTTAAAACATTTAAATCATTTGTTCACACACCTCTATAGAGACCTTTATCAGACTGAAAACATAAGTGTGGTTTACTTTGGTCCAGCAATGAAGTTTGTTAAAGAGCAGTTACTTTTAAAATAGTAAAATATTGAATTTCATGTTATTTTTGCCAAAACATACTATAAATATATTCAACTAACTGACAGAATATGCCCTGGCACAGGCAAATAGACATTAAAGATGTCCTCCAAATACTTTTAAGACTGGGTTAGAGGAATGTTTAGGAAAATTGTACAGCTGCCTCAGTATTTAATATGGAAACATTTAGTATAATCTAACACTAAAGATTTTTATTTTTATAAAGAAATAAGGGTTTTCCGGACCATGTCACTTAACAGGAAAATAAAGAATGAAAATATGCAATATATAAACTTAGCACTGTTTAGTAAATTTCTTTGTTGTAACAATGCTTCTTGGCAATAAATCTTATACTGTTGAAAAGCCTGTTAACTTCTTTTTAAAAAAGGTGCCACATTTGTAAGGAACATGCATCTGTGGGATGAGATGCAGAGCCGAGTGTGGGTTGCTCCAATGAAAAATTTCAAATCTGCCAACCAGCTTATTTTGTTCTTGACTCATGTTTTGAGCTTCTGGTAGCCCCAGGTACAAATTTGATTTATTGCCAAGAATCATTGTTACAGTGAAATCTACCAAACACAAAAATCCTTATTTTACAGCAAGTTTATGTAATCTCTTAAATTTCAAGACATTAACTTGGTAAGATTTTGCAGTTTTAACTTGCGTTGAAGGGTGTGGGGTTTGTCAAATCTATAAAAACAACACTAACAAAAACTTTACTCACTAAATATCTAACAAAACTGCCGGGACTTCCATCCAGGCTGGGAAGTCTCAGAGGGAGTAGGGTACCAGCGCATCTAAAGAGACACAAACATAAGTTATGTTCACCAAACCAAAAACACCAGGGCCTCAGAGCTCCAAATCCTCCGTCCTGTAGATTTCAGCCAGTCATTTTAATTGTCATGGCTCTCTTTAAGCCCTGGTCACTGAATCCATGGGAATGTGGGTCAGCTGCTCATTGAGGACAATTGTCCTGGAGTAATTAACGGACATGGAAACGTGGAGAACTGAGCGTCTCTGTGAGGTAAACATTCCCACTGAGTTGAGTTTACCTTTCCATAYTTGTTAATAAACGACGTGGGGTTTAAAGTAGAGTCAGTGAGAAGAAAGGTAAACTTTTCAAATCTCTCAGCAGCCGTTCAGACACGTGGAGGCTGTTTTACCTTTGCTGTGTAACCAAGAAGCAGAAGAGCTTTTGGAGATCTGGGTATTTAAAGGATTTTTCATCACAGCACAATTAAAAAGCTTTTTTTCCTCCCATTTTGGCCAACTACCAGTCAGCTTATGTTCCAACTGGAAGGTGGACAGCAAGTTGGCACCTCAGGAGAAGGCCATCAGGTCTGACAGTTTCTCCAAGAAAATACCTGACATTCCTCAGCCTCTTGTCAGATAAAAACGGGCCATGCTTTGTACAGCAGTACTCCACTCTGCAGCACTCTTATAGGAGGAAGTCAGCTGGCAATGAACTTTAAATGACCCAACAAGAAAAATATTTTTTTTTACTGTTACCAGAACTCCAGCTTACTTCTTTAAATCTGCAGTACAATCACTGTAGTATACAGACAGCTGTTTTCACACATTTGATACGATTTTAATCTGCAAATATAAGTGAAAATGGTTTTAAAAGTCTAAAAAGCAGCTAGTTAGTAAACGCAAACATTAAAACTCAAATACATAGAAGTTCATGAACACCTTTTCTTCTGACTGCACAAAGATGAACCTCTGTGTCAGAGCCAAAACTTCACATAAAACCACAGAGAGGAATTTTAAGTGTGGCATTTTAAAGGCTAATCTACAAGACTTTTTCCATCATAACTCAGGGGTTTAACTTCCACTCAGCTATCTGGTCTGCATCAAGACTGGGCACAGGCTGTGCAGGCAGAAACTCAGACCTGATTAAATTCAGCTGCAGCACCTTCGAGTTAATCGAACGTCAGAGTTAAAGTACGGGATAATTCGTCAACAGTTTTATTATTAAGTTCTAGAGCAACTTTCTATAAAATTTAGATTTTCCATGAATATAATGCACCAATGTCACCATGCGTGATCAAGTCATTTTACTTTAAGGCTCTATTTCAGGGTCCCTGTAATGGTAGAAATGTGAAAGTTGTTTAAAAGAAGAGCGGCACACACCGGTTGGTCCCTCACCTGGGCGTGGAGGGCTGCAGCTGCAGCTGCAGCAGCGGCTGTCGGGTACGTGAAGGCAGCGTGAGGGAGGCCTGGGGTCAGCTCCGTGGTATACAGGGGGTAAGGAGTCCAGGCGTCGGGGGACGCAGGGATCAGTGCTGCCCCAGTCAGATCATCTGAGGAAGTTCATGGGAGGGAGGGGGGAAAAGTTGACCGACAGACTGACAGGCTTGAATCAAGTAAAAGCAGGCTGAAAACTAAATGCAAACGGGTTTAATAAGTGTGTTTGAAAGAATCACAGATCTGTAATAAAGCTGAGACTACACTGCTGCTAAATACTCAAAAACCAGAGCTGGATTCCCTGCATATTTAGGCCTGAACTGGACTTGTAAACAAAAATAACCAGACAGTTTTTGGATCTGATTAAAGCAGTAAAGCACTCAAACGTGCAGACAACTAGAAAGAAATCAAATATTCAAGTTTCTTACAAAATAAAAACATGTAATATTTACCATTTAGGTGCACAAAGAAAAAAAAAAAAAACACACCAAGAAGCAAAGTGTCCAATTTAATTAACACTTCACTTAAGAGTATTTTGAGTAAAAGAAAAAAAAATACTGGACTCTTTAAAAAACCAACCAAGTTTCTCTTCTTGGGGCTCTGCCACACTATGGTTAATAATCACAAAAGAATAAAAAACCTGTCTTGACCCGAGCTCACTGCTGCTGTTAACCACCTGTCTGAACCTAATTATCACTAACGTTCAGGCAAAGAAAGACGCCACCGTTGACTGAATCCTTCGGGTGAATTTCCCAGCTGGATGGAAGCAAAGCGACCGTCTAAAGAATCGAGAGGACATGCATGTGAAGGTGAGTTAGTCCTTAATTTGTTAGAAACTGGTTTTAACCCCCCACCTGTTTGATTAAATACCAAGACGTCTGAAGATTTTAAAGAGAGAGGGCTACAAGGTTCACTGAGCACAGGCGCTGCCGAGGTGAGAGTGGAGGAGAGCCTAGAGTGGTGCAGCCGAACAACTTACATGGGTCCCGTGCAATGAAGTGTGCTCCTAGAGCAGGGTGGATATTTGTGGGGTTCGGTGTGGCCATCAGCTTACTCTTTGCCATCTTCGTGTTGGCTTTAGCAAACTCTAAGCGCAGGGTCTGGGGGCTTTCGGGGTCAAAACGGATACCCTGGGAGGAGAGATGGAGGGATAGGAGGTAGGGGAGGGTTGGACATCGTAAGGGAGCTGAGTTTATGCGGGGGGCTGTAGCTCAGTTGTCTCACACGGCCACGTTTCCTAAAGCAGTGCCTCAATACTCAGGCTGCATCCTTCAGGCTCCCCTGTGGGACGGTACAACTCGCTGTCCACACACAACCGCTGTTAGCCAATTTAAAGCTGGGAAGACTGAACGATGCACTTCTGAAATATTTCTGCATGCTTGCATCTCCGTTTCCTCTTGACAAAAAAAAACTAAATTAAATAAAGAGCACAGGTGACTGAAAAAAACTCAGACCCCTCGCTCAGATCAGGAGGAGGAGGAGACGAGGAAAAGGGCCGATTGTGAAACCAAGTGTTTCTTTTTTCCTTTTTTTTGGTGGTTTAACCCTGCTTGTGTCCATGTGCCCTAAGCATTGTGCCCACATGCAGGTGAGTAATACTTTGGTGTATGTGTGTTGTGTGTGTATGTTGTGTGTGTCTAAGAGGGGATGCTCAAAAAGAATGCTAAGCTATGAGGGAAAAAAGTGTTAGATACTGCCAACGTGGGCTACTGGGTGACAAAAATGAAGAGGTTACACTACTAAAGATGTGTCCAGATAACACTACACTTGTGGCTTCAGAACAGGTATTACAGTAAAGCAGTGATATGCAACACGAGGAAAGCTATGTCACACTAAGAAGGATGTGTATCAAGGTCAAAGTAAACTACCGTAAGGCTACAGGACTCTGGCCTCTTTCCAAAAATGGCCCTGCCATTGAATTGTAAGAGACAAAATGGGTTGGCTTTAAGAACTTTCAATGGGAGGTGAATTTCTTTAAAAACTCAAGACCCAGTATTTATGGCATTAAACAGAAGGTTAGAACAATACTAGCATTCAACAAGATTTGGAGAGTAAAATGGGGAACAAACAGCAAAACAAATAATTAAAATCAGTGAAAGGAAGTGGTTGCTTACATTTAACGCATTTTTTGCAGCTTCAGCTCCGGAGCGACAGTCGAAGGTTACAAACCCGACAGGCTGGAAGACAAATGGAAGAAGAGCATTTTAAACAAATGACAACTTCACGCAGAAAACTTACCATTTTAACTGCAATAACCTGAGTTATTAAACACCAAAAAACCAGAGAAAACCAMAGCTTTCAGGCCCTGACGGGAAGGCTCCTCACCTGTTTTGATGTTAACTTAATCAGTGACCCTTCATAACCCTGCAGGGAAAAAGACAGCCAATTATCCATCCTGGAGTCACATGAAGCAAGTCAGGCATGAACTTCACTATATAAAAGCTAATTTYTTTTGTCTGAACTGTCACTTTGGGACCATCGCAGACCCGTGTGTGACTAAGATACAGTTTCATTTGTTTAAAAAACAAGACTTCATGTTTCCAACTAACAMTTCGAAGTGTTTACTTTAAATGGTGCAAGCACATCGGATAAATTCACCAGTTTAAAACACAGATAAGACACGATGACTAAATCAAGCCAGCCACATTATAAACACAGCAGCATGGATGTTAAAGCACAAGTAAATTCTTGGGAAACTACAGGAATTTTGTCTGAACGGACCACTGAAAGGGAGGGGATTTTCTCCTGATCTTGATTTACAGCCATGGAAAAGCAAACATCTTTTCAGTGTCTCTAATAAATCCTAGGCAAACATCTTAAAACAAAAATAACTTCAGGGATTCAGATAAAGGAAACGTAAGCTAGAAGTCAGTCAGTATGTGAATATTTGTCTTATAAATTATTGCAAAAAAGAGGGGTTATTTTAGAGCAGATGAATGTGAGGTTTTAATCAGATTAACACTTATTTGCACATAGTCGGTTGTATTTACTTTCTGCAGGAGAAGAAAAAGTTACAACTAACTTGACCCTTTAGCGGTTTCACAATGTACAAATGTTTGGAAATATTTTTTTTTCTATTATTTTCCTGCGTGCGGGCTGAGCTGGGGCACGGACAGGCTTGGTTGGCCATTTGTAGGAGCTACTCATTTACACATTCCACAAGACCATCCATGTGCGAGGGACACCACTTCCAATTTGGTTAGTTAGGACAAGAGTGGGAGGGTGTTTATGGGACCAAGGAGGAGAAAAAAAAACAAAACAAAACAAAAACGCAAACACTAATGGATGAACAATGATGTGGCCTCATTCCCATATATGCAAATATGTGACTCTCCATCATTGGGAAAACAAAACTTCATAGAACTACTGAGAATCATATAGTTTCTGTATTATTGAACAAAATGATTTAAGATAATTAACATATTTTAAACACAGATCTGCTTTTTATTTTTCTTCATAAAACCACTTCATGACTTCCAGAAGCTATGCTTTATATTTAAAGAGTGACTATAATCAAGTTTCAATCAWTCTCCTTTTAAAATCAATGTTCTGACTTGCCTTGAAAGGTCTGAACAGCAGGTAGAGTTCTCGTGGTTTGATGTCAACCGGCAAGCCGCTGACAAACAGAGTTCGTACCTGGAAACAAGAAAAAAATAATAATTTAGTCAGGATTTTAAAACACCTTTCAGTGATTCTCTCAGCTTAATGTAGCAATAATACAAGTTTCAAAATGCTAAAGATGGGCAACATTTCAGAAAATAGAAAACAAATATATTCCTCAGCAGGAAGTAGAAAAGTGATGCAAAGATGTCTCGCTGTTCAGCCTCGACCATAATTTTAACTAGTATATTAAAAGTACTGGTTTTCTTTGTGTACAAAACAAACAGCTTAATTTAAAATCATAAAATTTGAGAGAGAGTGGCAGATTTACCTTTAAGACTAGAAATGTAAAACTGAAATAAAATAAAATTTGTACTGTGAATCTGAATGTCTTTTAAAAAAAGGACTCTTGGACGTCTCTAGTCCGGTGTAGCGGGTGGATTAAACGGTGAGGTGCGAGGCCCATTAGTCCTCAGCTGGTGGGGAGGCCCTCTGCACAATGGAGCAGCCAGAAGGACAACAAAGCTCAGCACGACAACATTTCCTTCCTCTGACCAGTGGCCCCCCGACCCAGTCGGCCCTCCCGACATTTTCAGGTGCTGAACGGGCGGCAATCCTCAGCCCTTTGCATGTCGACACACACAGGCTGAACGTGGGGCCCAGCAGGACACACACACTCTGAAGACATCTGAATTTATTCTTCAGCCGATCAGTGACCGGCTCAAGGCCGACAAGTTAATTTAAATCTAAAACTGTAAACACAAGGTTTAAATAAAGTTTATAATTAAGCTCATTTTAAAAGAAACAGCAAATCATGAGAAAAAGAGTAAAGTTTGTTTTTTTGTTCAGATTTTCTTGTTCAGTTGCTTGTAATTACAAGAAGGGGGGGGGGGGGATCTAGAGCAAATTAGGAGGAAGCAAAAGAAGTCAAGTGTCCAGATCAGGCTTTGTTAAAAAGACAATGTGGACAAAAAGAGGACAAACAAAAAAGGCCCACGGCTTCCTTCACCGCCTCTCCATGAGGAGTCATTACAGAGGAAATGTAGCAGACCACACAGACAAGGGGCTTTATCTGCCGGCTCATTTATTCATTACAAGTATAACAAAAATATTTTAATGTCATGCTACAATTTGTTTTTGTAGGGAATTTAAAATTGAGAACATTTTGCGAGGTTGAACGCTGACAGGGGAGTAAAGCAGAATTATTTAGGCCTTTTTTCTAATTGCCATTTTAAAAAGGTCTATTTAATCTCTGTCTCTTCATATAAAAACAAATTAAAGATAGACTTCAGTTTTTGCTACATGGCTTTATTTGTAAACTTTTAAAACTTAAATGTATAAACCCATGTGAGGCTCAGGAAAACAAAAAAAAAAGTTAATAAAATGGTCTTCATTCTCAGAGGACACCACCTCTGACACAACACCACCTGTTTCACTTTAATTTGACCCTTTTCCCCCAAACAGGACCTCAGGACGGACGACCGGAAGTTGGTTGCGCCAGAACAAAAACCCGTGTCGAACCCCGAACTTTTAGGAACTAAATAAATAAAAACAACCCCCTCACCTCCTCCTCGATAGAGACGCTGTTGTTGGGCTCAGAGTCCGCTTTGAGGCTCATGTCGGCGGCGGCCGCGGCTGCTGCTGCTGCTGCGCACAGAACCAGGTTTTTCCTCGTCGCGTGAGCTTTGCCCCCGGCGCGCCTGCTGAAGCTGCTGCGGAGGTCCCGGTCTCGAGCCGTCAGGTGTCGAACTTTCAGCCTGAGCAGAGAAGAAGGTGAAGATGTGCCGAAGAGGTGAGGTCGTGCAGACGAGCTATCCGAGGATGTAGTCGAACAACGAGACAGAATCATTCATAAAAAAGCGGAGGAGAGGAGGAGAAACTTAAAAAAATGGTGTTGAAGGTGGTTTGGTGCTCCGTGTCGTGAGGGTGGGAGATGAGGAGTGGGGGGTGAAAAGAAGTGCGCGTGGAAACAGAAAGCCCCAGCCGCTCACATCAACACCCTCAGCTGTGGGACTGTGTGAGAGGAGGAAGAACAAGTCAACTTTTCTCATTTGAGCGTCTCTTTCTCCCTCCCTCTCTTTCTCTCTCCTCCCGTCCGTGAACTACTCCCTGTCTCCTCCTCTTCCTCGCGCTGCCTTTCAATTAGGCCGTTAATGATGTTGGAGTCTGTCGCGAGCTCTAATCAGGCTGCAGATCCGCCTCAGCTGCGTCACACCGGCCCCAATACCTGAGCA